AGAGTAAGCACATGTCTACTTAAGCTGAATACATATTCATTAAAAGCACATTTAAATATATGGGTACGAATTGGGGATTACTTATTTCAACCAGTGTAGGCAACAAGTCCTCCCTGTGTTTTAGCCCACAACTCCCACGATTCCTCACCGCAGTGAGTCCAAAACTTACAGGGGACAGCACAATTTGCACACTACTACTTTAGACTTAACCAAGTGCTTGGGAAAGCAGGACGAGACTGATCTCCACATTACCCCAGTCCTGCTCTGATAGTGTAAGTGGTTTCGGAGGGGGGAAATGGCATAAAGGAAGGGACCACAACAAGGCATCCTTGGCCGGCAAGGTTTCTCTTCCCGCAGCAGTTTCCATTAATCACCAGAAGTATCACTATATGTTTGATGAACACATACAATCTACTTTTGCCCTTGGTTTCTAATTTACCCTCTTGATACCTTTCTCCTTGCCTTTTTCTTATTGTTTAGATTTATTCTAATACTTTAAGTATAAGCATTGCACATTTCCTCCATCAACATGATGTCTGTTGCAGTTCGGACAGGCTAGCATGGTGTAAAATTAATTTAAGGGTTTCAGCAATGTTGTCTTTCCATTTGTACGCATTTAACTTAAAATCTTGTGAAAATAAATGGTATTCAGTCCAACTTGGTAAACTTCATTTACTTGTACAAGAAGTCCCATAAACTGAAGCTGTAGTTTAATCCTGCAACATTTTCCTTTGGATTTAATTTTTTGGAAAAAGGAATTGAGATTTAAGCCAGCAAAACTTTCCATGAGTAAACACACACACACCATCTCTGACTATCTTCTATCTTTTCTAGTACTTTCCCTCCAGCACATACTTGAAGAGGTTCTAAGGAAACTTATATGGACCATGAATCAGTAGACATGATATCTCCTTAAGCAGGAGGACTGGAAGCCATTAATTCCCTCTCCCCTCCTCTCCCTCTCCCTCTCCCTCTTCCTCTCTCTCTCTCTCTCTCTCTCTCTGTGTGTGTGTTTCTCTTTGAAAGAAAGTTTAGGAACACAGAGGAATTCTGCACTTTAGAAGCATTTAACAGTAGAAAAATTTGGGTAAAAGATTTGAAAACCAGCACATTCATTTGACAGCCTATTGTTCTTTACCTTTTTCTTTTTCTTTTTTTTTTTTTTTGTGGGGTGGGGTGGGGTGGCCAGGATTGCTGTCTACTTAATTGGCAATCTGTATTTAACAAAAATGGATGCTTGAACAGCAATTCATCTGACTGCAATAATTCACAAACCTAAAAAAAAAAGCTCAGAGAAACTATTCTGCCTTTCTTCATCACTGCTTGTGGGTGTGCAAGTGTGCACACATAGAAACATAGAGAGTCAGAAGGGATCTCTCTGGCCATCTAGTCTGACCCCCGGCTCTAGCCAGTTCTGCTCACAACATGCCTGTGTCTGTTGCTGTTTGTTGTACTGATTTCTGAAAGGAAACAGTGCATACATTCTCACCAGTGCGTTACTTATTGTCCAAGTTTTCACAGTGGTTATTTGATTTTCAGTGTTTATTTCTTTTTTATGAAGTAGTCCAAGCATATTTTGAAAAATCGTGCTGAAACAGCTTTCTTTAGAATTTTCCCCAGTTTTCTGAAAATGCAAAAAATTGTTTTATTTTATGCAGCAACTTCAGGAAGCATGGATTTCAGTAAAAAGGAGTGTTTTCAAAGCTCTGAGGGTAAACCTGAGTCAGTTTTAGATGGGATGCACCAAGCATTCTAAGCACGATTAAACGGACCCTTCTCATCTAAACTACAAAATGCAAACAGAGCATTGATGCCTAGAAGAGTTTGGGTCAAGAATCAAGAGAAATAGAAATGGAAGGAGCAACCAGAGATGCGGTAATTGGTCCCTGATGCTGCATCACAATCCAATGCAATCCATAGACTGAGTTCGGTGGGATCCATGTGCATTTCAACACATACAGTATTGCAGCATAGGGTGCGGGTATAGCAAACACCTGATGGCTTAAGACGAATCAATGATAAAGGACATGAACATATTTCCCTGCATGTTTTATCCTACTCTTTTGGAACACTGTCTGCTATACCAGCTAGTAGGATTAGTTGATTGTGTAGTGTAGCAAATTTGGATGAATGATCTTCTTATGTCAAATCCCAGTGCATGGGAAGATCGTAACACAGAATGTTGATGTCCTTATTGACATTGTTAGATCATCCCCTTGCCACTCCTTTTAGCACATGTTAAAGTTGAAAGGTGTGTGGTGAGGAATTTCAGAAAGAAGGAATAGGATCCAGTTCCTTCAGGACCACCAATGTGGTTCTTGCCCTAACCTCTCCTCTGGAGTCTTAGTCAAATAGCATGGAGCCTGGGGCAGATGGTTCCTGCCCTCTCCCCCACATGCATGTATAATTAACTTAGGAAGAGTTGCTGATGTGTTCATGTAGTCATGCCCTGAAGACTAGATCTCATCAACAAGCATTTGCATCTCACGTTTACACTTTAAAATGCAAACAGCAGCTGTTCAGGGTTCTAATAACAGATGGGGAGGGGATATTTTTCCCACCTATAATTTGAGAAAAACTCTGGGACTGTTGTTTTTATGGGGAGGGAGGCTGCATTGAAATGTATATTAAACGTAAATATGCATTTAAAATCATGTCTGTGCTGGCACTTACAATGGTAAGAACTCAAAGACACTTCTTACAGACTAGGAGAGATTTCCTATAGGAACCTAGGACTTGAAAACTCTAGGAGGTATTCAAGATCCATGAACATTTCATGTCTATATTTTCCATTTGAAGCCCCAAACATGAGTGAAAGCAATTGTCTTCCGGAAAAAAAAAAAATCCACAAATCAGCAAACACATGCTAATGTTCATCTCGCTCCCAATTCCAAGTCTGATTTCTGCAAATTTCCTCTTTAGACTACATCAGCATGTCTTCTGTCTATGGAGGTAATTTTGGAAGGTTTGTATTCATGTTCCATTCGATCACTGCTTGATGTCTACAGATCTCCCATTTGTGCAAAGGATACAATAATCTCAAATAGGAATTGGGCACAAGATGAACAGTGAGAGCGCATTCAAAGATTTTCAGTGATCTCAAGCATCCCTTCTTCATCCTCTCCTTTCATTCGTCTAAGATACACAAAAGTTCCATCACTTTTGAATTATGCAAATGATAGCATCAACCAGAAATGGGACAAAATGAAAGTATGTGAGAGTTCTATAAGCTGAACTATATCTCTGTGTGTAAACTTGAATAAATTGATTGTGAATATATACAGATATGTCAGGAAAAAGAAAATAAGAGAGTATTAATGTTCTGTATGCATCACTGCAGAAACATAGACCAGTTTAACATCGACACGGTCCAGGCACAATATATTACTGCTGTCTCAATGACATCAGAGCTGTGTTTCATGTGTTACAACCTAGCCCTAGAATTCGGTGAACAAACTGCCTTTCATTTTTCAGAAGGAGAGTTGTTGGGTAATAACTCTTTTCTGGCAGTGATGGGACCTAACTAGGACTGGGGAGATACAAGTCCAAATACCCACTGGGCCATGAAACTCACTAGGGAAACTTTGGCTAGTTATTATTTCTCTCTCTGTCTGGGGTTGTTGTTAAGATATGATGGGAAGAATGAAAATCATAAAAACGAGACTGAGCTCATTTGAAGACAGGCAGATAAAAATACTGATATGGATGGAAACAGAAACAGAGCAAGTCAGATGGGTCTCCCCAGGCCATCTAGTCTGACCCCCCACAACTCCAGCCAGCTCTTCTTTTGTGATCATTTGGCAAATGATGTTGCAAGAGTTGCAATAAGTTGCAGAAGAGGTTTGAGCTCGAAAGTGGCTTTTCCCTCTGTAAGGGTGCGGACCCGATTGTGTTGGTCCGCCCCCAGAGCCGGATGGATCCAGATGGATTTCTGAAGACCCTGGGGGAATTCCTGGTTGATAAGGCTGGTGCTCCTGTCAATGCCCTGGTTGAACTATGGAATGGGGAAATGAGCAGGGCTACTGACACGATCGCTCCTAAGCGTCCCCTCCCACCTGGCAGAGCCCATTCATCCCCCTGGTATACACCTGAATTACGGGCGATGGTGGGTTGGAAGACATCTAGAGCGTAGGTGGAGGAAATCACAGGATGAATCTGACCAAACACACTTGAGAGCTCATTATCGAGCCTATGCTGTGGTGGTGAGGGCAGCGAAAAAGAAATTCTTCTCCGCTTCCCCTGCCTCCTCTCAATGCCGTCTGGCGGAGCTCTTTTGGGTGGTACAACGGCTGGTTCATCCAGGCCCCAAAAAAGACTCTGTGCCACCCTCGACAGCCTGCTGTGATGACTTTGACAAGCATTTTAAGTAGAAAATTGCTCAGATTTGTCACGAGCTGGACTCCACTAGTGACTCAGAGCCTTCTGGGGAGGTGCCAATGTTGCCGTCTGGTCCAAAATTGATGAGTTTCAGTTGTTGCGGCCTGATGATGTGGATAAGGTGCTTGGACAAGTATGTCCTACCACCTGCTTATTGGACCCTTGCCCATCTTGGCTACTTAACAAAGCCAAGCACGGAATAGGGGCCTGGATCCTGGAGGTTGTCAATGCCTATCTGAGGGACGGCCGGGTATCTGCCCCTTTAAAGGAGGCGGTAGTCTGGCCAGTCCTAAAGAAGGCATCTCTGGATCCAGAGATCACCACCAATTATAGACCGGTGGCCAACATCCTGTTCTTGGGCAAGGTGTTAGAGCAGGTGGTGGCAGGACAACTCCAAGCACTCTTGGATGAAACTGATTATCTGGACCCATTTCAGTCCGGCTTCACACCTGGGTATGGTACTGAATTTGCCTTGGTCGCCCTGTATGATGACATGTGCAGGGAGAGAGACAGGGGGAGTGCATCCCTGTTGGTCCTCACAGCTAAAGACACCCAAACCACTGCTCCTCACAATGCATGAGGCTTCTCATGTCTGAATGCATGTGACACAGGAGAGTCAGAAGTGGGTATAGTCAAATCTCTCTGTTTTACTTTCTAAGACAGCATGATCAGTATTATTTAAAGTCTAAAGTTCTTCCATTGCAATTATGAAGAAAGTTGCTAATGTTTGTAAGTTATTACCAAAAACGAATCAAGCTTTCACCTATCTGCATGAGCCAAATCCAGTCGGTCCATGATTTCCCTCCATGGTGATGATCATAATGTACCTGCCTGCCTTTAACTGTTAAAGAAGAATATCAGAACTGAGGAGTCTCGTGTTTCAAAATTTCAACACAGTTTGAATTAGGAATGTACAAATGTTTTTTTAATCTGAACCATCTGTGTCAGGAGTCAGCCGTTCCATCGTCTGCTCTTTTACAGATTCTAATATTTTCCCTGCCCCCTTTGGAAAACCATGCAAAAAAGTCTGCCACAATTTTCAGTGTTTTCACTGGCATGTGAAATATTTTGCATGTTTTCTTGGCTCTGCAATCAATGAGCAGAGCATGCATACAGATGTGTAAAACTTTGTTGTTGTTTTTAATAAATGGCATACATGTTAGTGTATTTTCTAAAAACTTTTGTACTTTTACATGTCCAAACTTGTATATAATTCTGGAAAGCCGAGAGAGAGAGAAAGGAAGAAAGGCAGGCAGGCACATGACTTGGAAAAAGCCAGTCTACTACATATTCTGTGAATCAGAGTCATAGAAATCATTTGAAACTGTTACAAATTTCTTCAACATCACAGGTATGACAGGAATTCAAAGCTAGAATATTAAGACCTGTGCACTGTCTTAATGGATGAATATATTACTTGCATTTTTTCCCAGATTGATGGCTTGGGTTTTTTGTTTTTCAGTTTATCAGCAGTGTGTGTGAGATGAACTGTGTGGATTATTATTTTTTTGGCTACCTCTGATAGGATCTGGTCTTCCAATGCTTTGCCCCTCTCTAAAGCAACCACATGGGGCACTGGCCGTTATACCAGGAACACTGAGAAGGCTATTCTACAGATCTATTTTTTTCTTTCACACTCGCCACCATGGGAGAAAATACAGGCATGACACAGATGTCTATGTGTGTGTGAGTGAGTGTGTGTTTCCTGAGGTCTAATAGCACCATTGGTGGTTTGGTTTTTACCAGAGAAATGGTACAGGAGAAAGAGTGAAACACTTCCTTCTCAACTTCCTCTGCAGAATTTCTTGAAAAAACAAGACTTCTTCTTATCCCTTACACATGGTTTTAAAGTCAAACACACACAGCAACAGCAATCATCAGATCTACCCTGTCATGTGTATTTCTGCACTTAAGTAGACATTAGTCAAGTCAATCGTTATCTTTACATTCAACTTCATCACCGGGAGTGTTTTCTAGAACTGTGTACAGATCGCCTCTTGAAGCGCTCTCTGCCTGCACTTTTTTTTGCTTTTTGAAGACATGTAAATCGATGGGACTGTTTCATCTAATTTATATGGGAGGTTGAGAAAGTGTTGAAAAGTTTCTCAGCAGTGGGATTCACCCTTAATAGTGGCAGTGGTACTTCTAACCTCCCCCCACCCCAGGGCTTAATTTTGATTCCTGTTGGGAAGCCTAACTAATGTTTTTGATCCTCTGCAGAGGCTTAGCTTAGTCTTCCATTCTAAGACTGGTATTTTTCCCTAATACCAGCTTTTAATAATGCATTGTTTCCTGATTCACCCTCAGTGGCATCTGTGCTTCCCGGTCCACATTAACAGCCCATATTTAAAACATATAATCATAAAAGGAACAGATGAGTACTGACTCAACCATCTAAACCACAGGAATGCCTAGGTTCTAGGAGATAGCAATCATTTTCATCTTTTTTTCTCTTGATCCTCGTAGTATTTATTCCTAAACACGGTCCCCTAAGGACCAGACTGATTTTCATTACCCAAGTATCAAACTTAACCTTTGCTGTCAGGAGATGAGTTTTCCCCCTCTCACAACAACCATTTTGCAGAGCGGCAGGTCTTTCCTTCTGGGTGACCAGTGTCTTCCCTTCCTCCAAGTAGAAACTGGCTTGATGGTATGAGAGAGTGAGCCATTGTATGAAACATGAAAGAGATATATGTGTGTATGCTGCAGTCGTAACACATGGTTTCCCTCCTTGTGATGGGAATCCTGTTAAGTAGAAAGTCCAGGCTGGCTTTTGATTCTTTAAAAGGAAAGCAATGACTAAAGTCCATTTTGTCTGCTGTAGCTGAAGTTGGACTCCTCGATCTGAGTTTCTGAAAGGTTATTGATTTGGGGCTGTGTCCTTCCTATCTCTTCCAAAGCACAGGCTAGAGAGTCTAAGTCATCATCATGTTGATGCCTGGCTTCCCACAAGTCCAAAATGACAGCAGATGGACTGTGCTGGGTGGCAAAGTAGGACAAATTCCTAAGCCAAGAGAGAAGCAAAAGCAAAGAGGTTAGTCAGGGCAAAGAACCTTTTGGTTATCAATGTCTATCTTCATGTGCCATGGTAGTAAACCTCTTTTGAACATGCGGTTCAGTTCAGATAGTTCCTATAGAGCTAAAAAGGGGCTACAATGAATGAGGAGCTTCACTGACATAGGAGTCCCCAGCCTTTCTCGGAGATGCAGGTACTGTTCAAAAGAGGAACTGCAACCCCCATAGGCAATGGTTACTAACTGCATTCAGTGGAGAGTTTTCCATTCTGGTTGGGCCCACAGCCTCCAGAAACACGATCTAGCTCAAGATGTTGTGTTACATGTTACGGTTAATTTCCAGCACCCTCCCACCCCACCCCACAAACTCTCAAGTAAAATCAAACCCCTGAACATGCTGAGGAGGAGGGATATGCAAGGCTAGCAAAACCTACCCTCAACCAAGTTTTCCAGATTGAATCTCGAATTTGTATCCAATTTTGAGCTTTCTTTTTTTCCTTTTCACATGAAAAGCTGTGCCTATTTCCAAGCACAACTTTCTGAATGTACTCACCAATTGTGTGCATATTTGAAATGTACGTACTTTTATCCTATTGCGTAAAGCAATTGTGGGTGTATTTTTCAAAAGTGCACATTTTTCATTTTTCTGATGTATGTGTGCTGTCAAAACCATTTCTGGCATTTTGCTTTTTATGCATTCGTTTATTTTTAATTTGAGTCTGAAAGATATAATGCAAGCTGAAAAATGGACAGATTTGGACCATTAATTGTATCCAAGTCAGTTTTCAGTCAGGAAGATGTGAATTGGGTAAATCCTGATTAAAAACAAAGTGAAACAAATTTCTTATACACTTCTACCCATGAGCAACATTTTCTCAAGGCATCGTGGTATGTGTTACCATCCTCTTTTTATTTTATTTATTTAGTTATTTAATATCCCACCTTTATTTTTATTTCCAAGGAATGCCAACTGGTTTACATAGTTCTCCTCTTCTTCTCAATCTAATCCCACAGCAACCCTGTGAGGTAGGTTGGGCTGAGAGTCTGTGACTGGCCCAAAGTCACCCCGTTGGCTCCATGGCTGAGCGGGGACTAGAACCCAGGTTGTCTGAGTCCCTGTCGCATGCTCTTAACCACTACACCACACTGGCTCTTTGTACATAAGGCAAATAATGTTTTGCTTGCTAATTGTGTGGGTTGAAAGGGACATTGGTAAGATCTATGGGAAACTGTGTGTTTTTGGAGTGTTTCTGTAGAATGCTCAAGAAACCTTTCCTGGTTTGGAGGTACACAATAGGAATGCTTGTAACACTCTCTAACAGCTGTTGACACAAATGTAGAGAGGGGGAGGCTGAACACCCCAAGAGAATAAACTTCTTCTGAATCATTTGCTGGCAGTCATGATGGCAGACAGGTAAAAACAAACAGCAGTGCATTATGGAAAATCAACCTTTGGGGTAAGAGCTAGTAACTTTTTGACCCTAAAGGCCTTGATAAAGAATGTTGTTGGTATGATAAACAGGGACAAAATGACCTTGTTATCATGGCTTCATGTTACTTCCACTATCAGAGGGGTATGCCATCAAATTCCATTTTCTGGGCAACAGAGTGGAAGTTTGCTATTGCACTCATGCCTTTTTTGTGGAATTCTCACAGGTATTTGGTAGGCCAGCATGCAAACAGAATACAGGACTAGATACACCTTCAATCTGATTGAAGAGAACATTTCGTATGCATCTGTACCCTAGCATGAATGGGAAAAGCCTGTGAGATGGCATTCATCTTTTCATAACAAATCATTATTGCATAAAGATATATTGTGAATTTGTATGCGAGGTGAGAAAAAGTGTCAAGACAGGCCTTCCTACTGGGATTTGGTGTGCAATGATGTTTTTCTGGTTGCTTTTCTACATTGGCCAGTTTTGATTTTGCTAGACACTGCACACATGATTTATGAAAATGTTCAGGATATTTATTTGCAAACAATTGGATGGAACAAACTGGCTTTTGAATGCACATTATTTTCAGACCGTGCCATTAAGAGACTATGCCTCTTGACAAATTGACTTGCATTATTTCCTCTGGGGATAATCATCTGAGTAAGGCAATTGAACAACCATGCATATGCATAATCATATTTACATACAGCTTATGATACATTACACATGCATGTAGGATTTGCTCAAGTTTAATTGTTGCTAAATCTCTGTGGAACAACTACTCAGAGAACTAGGATAGAGCAAAGGGAGAATTCACACGTGTTCAAGTGCTCTGCTTGATGTCCCACTGATTCCGAGAAACATTTATCACCAGAAACTGTGTCCTACATTATGCTGCATCATCTCAAATTTCATATGCTTGATGCTGTTAGCAAGACACACGTGAATGAATGAGCTATCCTAGTTGGTATGCATGTGTGAATCAGTGGAAGTGTGGCTTCAAAGCTCCTGTATCTGGGGACTGTTTGATCCTTATTTTCTAGCAAAGCTCACAGCTATCCATGTGGGTCCCCCCCCCACCCATACATACATACATACATATATATATATATATATATATATATATATAAATGTGTATATGTGTGTACACACAAGTCTATAGAGCTTGATTTCTGAACTTGATCTCCAGGATCCTGGGTTTTGGGACAGCATAATGAAAACCCCACAAATAGGCTGTGGAAGACAAAAAACCACAGCTTGGACTGAACTATACATTTAACTGATATCGTTACCTATACCTTCATTATGCAGGAGTAATCCTGCCCTTTGCTCAGCACTCGGCACACCTCACATGCTCCCACATCCTCTGGACAATAATCAAGAGCGTCATGTTCTTCAGGATGTATGTGTGCAAATCCCAACATGCAGACGCTCACACTGAGCAGGCAGTGTGCCTGACCAAATCCAGGAATTACACATCCCAGCCGAGTTTCTGGGCATCGGCTTTCATAGGCGCATTCCTTTAAGAAATTACACATATCCAAATGACTAAGTAGGTAACAGGAGAAGGCAGCCCTGTGTAATTACAGTCCCATGTTTCATTCTTTGGTTTGTTTAATATGGGGCTGTTGCATTTCTTGCAGCTTAAAGCCCATATTCTGTTTGCGAGTGGCTTCTCCAAAATGGGACAAGAGGAATGGCCTAATCACAAATATAAGTGGAAATATGGCACGTGGGACATAAGTGCAACATCTCTTTAGGTGGCATACATTAGTAAAAATAAAAAAGCAAATTTGACCATTCCTGAATACTAAAATCAGTACAAAACACTAAAAACTATCAATAATAATATGAGCTAACTAATAATAATTATGAGTAATAATATTATTACAACTAATAATAATTTAACCATGACCTTTTAAAACATGTTCTAGTGAGAAAGACAACTACAAATAACCTACTAAATCCCTCAAAATTGATAAAAATTTAAAAAATTGTGAAAAATTGTGGCCTTTCTGGTGAAGAATCCCTCAAGTCCAGGGACATCATTATTATTATTATTATTATTATTATTATTATTATTATTATTATTATTATTATAGCATTTCTATGCCGCCCCTTGCCGAAACCTCGGGGCGGCTTACAACATGATAAAATACATTGAAATACAATAGTACATAATAAATTACCATTAAATATAACAATACAAAAAATACATTGATTTACAAATACAAAATTAAAATTATCAGTATAAAATAAAAATATAGGAGGAGAAAGAGAAGGAAGAAGAAGTTGCCCAGGCCAGATCATATGTTTTAACAATTGACAATGTTTAAATATGGCCTGTGTAAAGACATTCCTTCTTTGCCTCACCTGACTCTTCCAGCATTTAGCTTAGGTGTGTTGAATGTCTTTCAATCTGAGTGCAGAGTTCCACTTTGAGTGGCCTGGGCTAGTGCATCTGCATTCCAGTGGGTGTGTGCCTACAGGCCAAAGGGCTGAGGCCAAAGTACCAGCATTTTGTAGCTTAAAGCTCTTCTTGCCAGAGACTAAGCATTCAGTCTCTTAGAATGGTGGACAAAACTGCACAAAAGATGGGAAACCAACAAGTGATTGGTGGTCAGAGAAAGGTGTGGGGCAGTGCCAGGAGGCATTGGCATGTGGGAGCCACCAGAGTGCTTTCTTTGCAAAAGGAGGGTTCAGTTTGAGCCCCAGGTGTGGGTATATGCCATGGTTGCTAGGTCCTCACTGACACAAGCAGCAACACAGAGCAGAAGCAGACTAATCAATTTGTACCTACTTTTCACTGTAGCAGGTGAAGTGGCCTTCTTTCTCAGTTGCAACCCAGAACCGTGGATTTCACAGGAGGAGGAAGTTTACCAGCTAAAGCTGGGAGGACTGAATCTATTGTGAAAGTCATCTTAACCTTTACCACATAATTCCTGGCAAAATGTCATCTCTTAGCTCCCTGGCTTGAGGGGCTGAGCTGGTCAATAAGTAAATATTTCTTTAAGCACAGACCCAATAGTGGAGACAAGCTCCCACTGTGGCTTTCTAACAGAGAAACTTTCAACTCTAAAATGGTAAGTATAGTTTTCCTTTCACATTAAGCTGGTGTATTGCTGCACTTCTTTCTATGCCATTGACTTACTGGGGCAAATTCTCTGTTCCCTTGCCAGTCCTTTATCACCTAAAGGCAGATTGTCATGTGCTGCTTCATCTGCAATGAAGAATATAACAGAATCCTTACTGCATCCTTCCAAGGATGACTGAAATAATGCGTGTAATATTTTTGAAGATTCTGAAGAGCTCTACTGATGATTGTTGTTGTTGATGATGATTAGTGGTAGTATATGACTGAAAGGAGAATAAAGTTGCCTCTGAATTTCTACTCTTCTACTCTTACTTTCACAATCCTGTAAGTGTCAAGGTGGAGAGGTGACTTCACTAATTCTCCCAGAAGTCCTGTGCACCTCTCAAAATTTGCTCTAGAAGGTTGAGGAACTGGTTGGAACATTAGAAGGGTGCAAGTTAAGGTAAGAATTGGAGACACACACACACACCTCTATCCGTCCTTTCTGTAGAGGAATGTTCTGTTGAATTTTGTTCCTATCCATGAAACGAAGAACTCTTCCATTTGCAGAAACTACTTATGTACATTATCAGATTTTATATGGCTCATCTCCTAGTTTAAGACTAGTAATACATTAGCTTGCCAGTGCTTTCTCTGGCCTTACTCTTCGGTTCAGCAGAAAAGGACTCACCAGCATGTTATTTTCTGTGTGTCTATTTGCCAGAAAACAGGAAGGAAACTATCTAGAATGTGACCCAAAAAGGGGAAAAATGCAACACTACCTACAAGGTAGATGACAGAAATATTCTACAGCTACCTATAACTCATTTATCAGCTACTATAAAAAGAGGCAGATGCATGCATGACCCAGCAGAAACCATATTTTTCAAAGATAACAGGAGACTGGGATAATATCCTGGGCACTGCTGAAACTGGAACCAGAAATTGTGCTATAAGAGATGCCAAAATTGATGCTTCTATTAAGGAATGGGATAGATAAAACCCTTTAGGATTTTTATTCCTACCTCTCTTCGCTTCCTGTTCTGATGTAAGCATAATCACTGGCCCCAGCTAAGTTCCACATAGAAAGCAAAAACCACCTGCCTTTTTAGCACGGGCAGCGTGAAGAGGCACCCTTGCACAAGCATGATCTGCAGTACTATCAGATGAAAGATGCCCTGATCACAGTGGTACTGGTGGCTTCTTTTATGATCATGGCAGACCGCAATAATACACTGCTTCTGTGTGCAATCGTTCCGCCTAATATGCAATCCCGTTTTCCCTTTCCAGTCTTTCATGAATAATGAATATTTTTGCAAACTTACAAGCAAGGAAACACAAAGTAATCGCTGCCAACCATTTTAAAATTCAAGAAAAATACAGCCAGCCACCTGCACTCACTTGTTCCAAATAGTACACGTCTTGCTTCCAAAGCAGTGCAAACAGATTGTGAGTTGGACAGTCATTCCAAACATTCAGAAAACATCCAGCTCCAATTCGCCTATGGTATCTTGTTTCTTTCTTCCATGTGGCCAACAGAAAACACACATGGTTTAGTTCCAGAAGGGACTGCTCATTATTCTAAACAAGAAGTCGAACAAATGCCCAGATCATGAGCCGAGGAACATGCTATTCTTAAAAGGTACAGAATCTGGCTTGTCTGCTAATGGGCATTTCTTAAAAGAAGAAGAGTACACAAGCTCATGTGTGGGTGTTTTCTCAAATGATCTGATTACAGAACAGCAAGAAAAGCTCTGTGCCCACTTGCTTCACCATTCCATCTTCGCTGATTAAAAAGAAAGAAAATGGCAGTGCTTTATCAATGTTGCCTTCTGGAAAGATGTTCATTTGAATAGTTAACTCAATGCTACAGAAATGGGGTCAACATGGTGGGAAAAGGGAGCAGCATCAGCATGCCAAGCAGAAGCCCACATGATAAATAAGTAAAAGTACCCCCAAAAAACCCCTGCTGCATCAGTATTGCACGCACAAAGTAGCCATGGCACATCAGAGTGTAATTTAGAAAAGAAAAACAAATAAAAATAAAGGAGTTATACAGACAGTCCTGCCTGAACTCCTTTAAGCTTTCAGCATCCTGGAGTGGGACTTGGCTAATTTCCAGGAATGCTGAATATCGGAATTCCTGCTTTGTTGTGTTGCCCTAGAAATGGCATGTATGCACAGTTGTCAAAAACTACATATGCACAATGCAGTGTCTCCCACTCACCCTCAATCTGCATTTCTTGCTTTAGCCTTTAGCCCTTAAGAAGAAACAAATAATTCTGATTATGGAAAATGTACTTGTTAACATGTGTATGTACCTTTACAAATGCATTTTTTTCAACCAAAAAAATCCATCTTCAAGGTTTTGAGAAACTCAGCATGTTCTGACATTGCATATTAACCTATATCCATTCATTGGGTTTCATTTTTGATGTGAAGGCAGCTTAAGAGGGAACCAGGCATAACTTTGTACATGGGTGTTCCACATTATTGGAACAGCGGCAGACTCAGTTGGTGATGTTTCTACCCTGAGCAGAATTCCTCTGGCAGATTTCAAACCATGATGGAGTTCATTAGAATGAAGACATGAAAAATGAACCCTTTTAATCACTTAAGAGTTTTGTATAATGCAGCTTTTGTACAAGATGTTTGGATTGCTGCTAGAAATACAATTATAATCATGGCTATGTCTCCAAAGCCTTTCCAGTGGAATTGGATTACCTGTCGATGCTGTTTTTCTGTGCTAACATCTGCCAGTCTTTGCCTTTGGCACTGGGTGTGTCAAAAGTCGCACATATTCTCTGCCTGATAGAGTACGGTATCTTGAAGGCTTGTGGTCCCATCTGAGCAGGAAAGTGGCTGTCATCATGTGCAAAGAAAGTGATGGTTTCTCTTTCATTCTGTTTGAAACACACATTAAGGATTGTAAAAAGAAAAGGTGGAAGGAAAGAAGGAAGAAGTAAACAAACAAACACCATGAGGTTCACTTCTGTATGAAACACCAGATTCTGTTCTTTTGCAAACTTTCTACAGAATCAAACACACAAACATTTTTATAGGATTAGGCTACTGATGGGGACCTGCCCTCAGTTCAGTTCAGAAAGTCATCTCCAATAACAATGCATCTTGAAATTCTTGTACCTCCCATTTAAGTTCTAAATTAACCTGATGATTTAATTGCAGTATGCATTGAAATGGCTTAAAATGTTGAATAGCAGAAGTCCAAGAAACAAATCCCAGATTCACATGGAGCTAAGTCAACACAACTGAACTGGACTCTTGACCCACAGTTCTCAGGTAATACAGAAAGAAGTCTCGTATATGCAACATTTTGGCTTCAGAGGTTAGCCAAACTATTGGGTGGGGTTGTTAGATAAATTTGCAGTGGACTCAACTGAGTTAGAATGTCTAAGAATCATAGCACTGTATTCCACAGTGGAGTAGCTTTTCCAACTTACAAGTATCCCATGGACTGGTAAACTTTTTTTGTCATTGTCCATAATTTTACACAAATTTAGTTGTGTAAAAATGCAAAGACAGACAGACAGACAGACCTGAATGAAACTGTGCATCCGCCCTTGTCTAGAGTATGAAAATGCTAATTCGGAGGTGGGAGATTTATGCATTTTTAGGAGTATGAATTTGTGCAAATACATGATCCAGCAGGTTCTCATTGAAGTACTTTCATGACCGACCCCACTCATGCGGGCCAGGTGGCCTACTCAAGAAGGAGTATAAAGTGCTTCTAAGTGCAGCTGAGCCTTGCTTGAGCAACAAGGCCAGCAAGGTCTAGTTTACTTCTGCTGTTCCTTCTTTTCTCTAGTTTTACTTATTTACTTATGTATTGCTTTTATATCCTGTCCTTCACAGTAGCTCTGGCCCATTTTCTGGCCCTGCCATCTGCATTGTCCTAATTCTGACAGCTCCTCATTTGTGACTACCAATTTGTGGCTACCTCTGCCTTCTGAGTTTCATCCCATCTCTATCTGTAGCCCATGAGAATCCACAAGAAAAGAAGGGGAGATTTTATTAGGAATTCTTCTAGTTCTCCCCAGTAGTCGAGGTTGTCTAGTTTAAAGGCTCACCTTGCCAGTGATGGGAAAGGCCTCTTTAGAGACTTTTGAGGGCTGAAACTGTACAACTGAACGTGATGGACAAATAGCCTGAACTAGCATAAGGCAGTTCCTTTTGTTCTTTTTATGCTGTTACTTGCATTCAGTGTAGCTTTCTTTTTCTTTTTCCTTCCTCTGTCTCTGAGACTGTAAACTCCAGGGGTCAAGAACCCACCTTCATGTTAGTTCATATGCCTTTCTACCTGTCTAGCACAACAAGATATGTCCTCTGCATGGAATGTCTGGGTGCCAGTGCAGTATAAATATTTCATTGGAATGGCACTACAAGCCTTTTCATATAACATTTATGGCACATCTCAAAAGACGCCTGTGCAAAGTAATAGGAGTGCTGTAGATACATCACATTTTCTGATTGCTTTAAATTAAATATGCAGCAGATTGGGTACTCTGCACTTTGAAGATAAGCTGCTGCTACCTGGTTTGCAAAACAGCCCCATGCAAGGGTAAGTTGAAGCACTGCATCTGTTTGCTGTTGTTGTTTCTTAAGTTGCTGAATTAACCTTGACTTTTTATCATCGTTTGTAGGCAGGGGTAGAAACATTTGCTGTATCAGTGGATCTGCTTGAAGAGGAAATTGTTAATGGGCAGTACACTGCATCTGATAGAGGTTTCTGGGAGGAGGAGGAAGAGGAGGAGGAAGAAAAAAGTAGTGCCAGTACCCCAGAGAAGGAAAAACAAACCATATCAATTACTCATATCTAGTTTAACACAAAGGAGGTAAATTGCTACTCCAGTTTCCACAGGGGGTAGTTTTTGCTGAATCTAGATAAAGATGTGGCATTCAGACATTCTTTGCATGCAAATTTTTGGCCATTCATCCGAAGTGAGAGGTGGGATGCACCCCTTTATGCAGAGGACAGAACCCTTTTTGAACCAGTGGTTCATCTACCCACAAAAATAAGGGAATTTAAGAAGACAGTTAGGGTGGTTCTCTGATGGATACTGGGAACTCTTTGTCTACTCTGCACAAGGCAGATGAATGTTGCCATTTGTTCATGTTATCATTTAGTTCAGTCATAACTGGCAGGCAGTGCAGAAATCCAGGGAATGAGCTGGGATATCCCAATAAGTCCTCTGAGGCACCTAGAGATTGAAGGTTGGTCACCTACCCAACTTTCCTCTCATTGTCACTGAGTTCCAGGGAGGTGGGAATGAGTAACCATTAGAAGACTTAATACATTGAACACTGGCTGGCATGGATTGGGTAGAGCAGCCAGGGTGCCTTCAGCTTGGCTTTATTGGGAATGGGCAATAGAAGGTGTGGATCAGCATGCTACTTGATCTACCTCATACTGCCAGGGTACCAAGGTCCAGCTGCAAATTCCCCCAGCACCTTGTCTAGTGTGTCTATAACTGGCCCTCATATATGTTTATGTTCATTGCAGATGCTAAGTACTTGCCCAGAATCCTTCATTCCAAGGAAGGAGGCACACTTGTGTTTGGTATGTACCAGATCATTTGAGATCAGTGATACATGGAGGGATGGCACCAAAAACCACACTTCGACCCTGAGAGATGTTCAAAACTCAGAAGATACCGGGATGTGTGGTCTAGGTTGAAATTTACAAAGAATAATCAATTCCTCAAGCGTCCCTACCCTTAACAGCAAAGTTCAGTCTCCCTGAAGACCACAAATGCTCAAAGCAAAGCACAATTTCTATTGTTTCATATACAAAATAAAATATGCCTATGGGAGAACATATGGATGATGGGACATGCGGGGGGGGGGGGGAGACACTTGCCTCGAGAATAGAAGTCTGGATCTGTAAGATTTGTTCATGGCCTTTGACTTGTCTGACACAAATTTTGCATGAGAGTTGTGTGGTGGCGGGAGTATAGCGCTCCAGTGAAAAGGCACAGTGGAGTGGCTGCTGGTGGCTCTGCCACACACGAGAGAAAGGAACTTCCTAGAAAAGAAAGGAAGAGGAGACAATTGGGCAATCAGCTGACATGGCAAGAGCGATGCAAGCACCCAATGACAACTGCCGATGCTAGAATGGCATTAGATTTCCGAAGGATTGCAAATCAACCTGCCCATTTCAATGGACAGAAGAGCCGCAGCTACTTACAGCATAAAGAGGACCATATGGTACCTGCCTACCTGATAGGTGTTGAATATGAGGAGTCAACAGAAACAAAGATATAGCAAGCCTAATTCAGTGCTACCATGCTTGAACATGCAGGGATTTGAACCCATATTATTAGGAGCCAAGCACTCCAAGCCCTGGGTCTGGATGAACAAATCCATCAGTTTCAGTCTTCATTTTATTTATTTCTATAGCACCCAATAGCCTAGAGCTGTCTGGGCAAGGTAAAACAATTACTTTGTAACAGAAATGTGTTGTCTTTTCATCTAGACCCAAAAGGTGCTAGGCAAACACAGAAGGAATCCCTTCTAAAATGGGGATGGGGGGACAGAAATATTTTGTTAAGTTTCTTCAATCAAACATTTGGTAGAAAGCTTGACTCACTTGATTTACTCTCTAAAATAATAGATGGACCTACTAGCAGGTTGTCTCCACCCAAAGAAAAACCTGGTAAGCAATGGTAATGTTTGGGATGTTTAATTCTGCCAGGGAACTCTGCTCCTCTTCCATTCTTTAAATCACTTCTGGAAAGAGGATCTTACTGTTTTGCCCCATACATGTTCTCAAATGCATTAATGGAGCAGTGAAAGAGCAACCTGCATACCTCAACAGCTTCTGGAGAACAGATCCTGTGCTTGACTGGAGCCAGCCACAAGGCTGCTCATGCAGAACCTGTTCTCTCAATGGCCTTCTGCATTTATTCACACTTATCAAGTTTCCTTTATGCTCAGCATGGAGAAGTCTGTGAAATTTGATAAATCTTACCAAAACTGAAATAAAATCCAATTATCAAAATCCTGCTCATTTCTGAACAGGGCGGTTTTCTTGTCTGCCTGTGTTCTATTCGAGCTGTAAGAAAAGCCATTGGCTCATTGGAAATTTGTGCAAAATTTGTGAAAATGATTTTAAGGTGGGGGGGGTCGGTTCAGTTTCCTATTATACTGAGGCTCCTACAGACCAGATGCAAGAATATGAATCATCTTCTATCAGGAACCCAACAAATCTTTCAAGATGCGAACAGTAGTGGAACAAACAGATGCCTTTGGATTTGCGACAAGGTTGCTGGAATTTGGGAGTTTGTTTCAAGTGAAGCACTGCTATTTCAGTCCAGTCTAAAATCAGTCAAACTATATGAAGTGTGGTTAAAAAGTCCAATAATACTCCACCTGCCTTCCATTACAGCAGTACTTTCAGGATCCAGTTTTGGGTCCCTATTACTGTAACCATGCCTCAAGAAAAGCATTTCGACCCTATAGAATGGATGAAATGCACCAAGGTCGGAGAGCCACCAAATGCTCAATGCTTGAGTGAAGAGGTTACAGTCAAAGAAGAGCCAATGACCATTCCAGGAAGCCACAAAGGGTCCATTAAGAAGTCCAGTCTGGTCAGATTTCACCAGCAAGCCTGAGCGCCCCCACCCCCCTTTCCTTTAGTTAAGTACATTTAGTCTTATGGCTAAGTTTGGATTGCCACTCATTTACTGTTATGTATTATTCATATTTAGGAATTGTGGCTAGAAGCCATGGCCAAATTACTAGGAAATAGTCATATCTCAGTGGAAGAGAACATGCTTTGAGTGCACTAGTCTGCAATTCTGGTGTATTTTGATTTTTTAGTCTACAACCTTGGCATTCCTGACTATGCTTGCTGGGCCTAATAGGAGCTAAAGTTAGAACCATTTGGAGGAAGGATGGTACAGGTAATACAGTTCCCAATCTAGACAAAGACAATTAGATAGCGATTTCCTTTGCTCTTATTGCGATTCATTCACATGTTTTCTGTTAAAATGGGGTAGCATCTCTGATCTCTTAGAAAAGATATGGATGGATATCAGCTGTGATGGTTGAGTGGGACCTCCATGTTCAAAAGCAGTATGTCATGGCATACCAGGTGCCAGGGAAGACCACACCTGCATGCCTGGCTCGTGGGCTTCCTGAAAGCATCTGATTTTGCCCATGATGAGAAACAGGATGTCAGACAAGAGAGACATTTGGCCCAACCCTAAAGTCTTCTTAGATTCTTTTCAACAAACTTCAGCTTCTTCAGGGATTTCTTGCTTGTTTCTAGAGGCTGCAAAGACCATCAGCAAGTTTGTTTAATAAAAATAATTTTGTTTGTTTAAAATAATACGCAATTCTGTTGTTTCATCATACTCATTGTGAATTGCTGAAGCTGCTATGTGGGAGTATATGGGGCATTAATGACCTCTTTTTCAACCCAGCATTTAACAATTAATGTTCATTAAAATAATGTTTCTATATTCCCATGATTATACTGTGATTGTAATGAACCTATTGATGCCCAAATGGTTTTGACCCACAAACATAAAGAATAGCTTTTATGCTTTTAGCCTTAGCCAGCTTAAGAGAAATGGGTTAAGGTTTTGTTTATTTTATTTAAGAAGATAACTGCATACATCTGCCTGTGTGCTAAAAAAATTATGAGTATTCAAAGGGTACAAGCTATGCACGTTTAAACAGAACATTAAGGAACAAGAAATGTTCAGTGTTGCATCAAGGAAACAAAGAGATGTCAGAAAACCTCTATAGGATTTAGATGGCGATCCCCACATTTTGAAGAGTGTGTGAGAATCGTGAGGCTATGCCAGCTCACCTTGCCCCTGGAAATATGCAGGGTCCTTGGTGTGTCAGCAGGTGGTTCTCAACATATGCTCATATATGCCATCGGAGGGCACCCTGGCACAATGGAGGCGCTGGGTATTAATATCCATGTGACACCTCTTTGCACATGGGCCAAAAACGTAGATGGCAGGGGGCACAGTCATTCTGCACATCTTGCCAATGTGGGGAGGAAAGCCCACACAGCCTTGTGATCTTGCTCATGCATTCTTTCAAGATGGGTGGGAGGGAGTCATCTGTGCTCCCTACAGGAACACTTCACAAGGTAAGACTGTTTTGTTACCTTGACAGCATGCTCAGAGAGGGACAGAGGCCTTTACAAGTCCTTTTGCTTCCCACCCAGTGGCTCCTTCTGTACTTTCAAAGACTGGAAGCGAAGTCATCTTTATGGGGGAGACTAAAGTCACCCTGCACTTGCAGTCCAGAACCTCGCCTCCTCTCCCAGTTGCTTGATCATGAGTGTGATCGATCTTGCTGGCTCAAGTTCACACTGTGTTCTTTTGTCTGCAGGTCTGCCACTGAGCAGCTGGTTTTCAATCACTCCACATAATCATGGAGAGTTGTGTGTGTGTTGGGGGCATATTTTGTTTATATGGTCAGGGGGGGAAATGCTGCCAAAGCCTGGTGTGACCTTCTACAGCCAAGGTTGCGGCACAACCCATCACCTTATTCTTCACCTTGAAAGAGGTTCCCCCTCTCCCTTTTCATTCCTGCTTTGTTCGCTGCAGCACATTACTGGGAACACGCTGCAGCCTGGAAGCCCAATGCCTGCAAACAGGAGGCTGGTGCCATCGCAGCATTTCAGTCTTCATAACAATAATAGCAGGACAGCAACGGCACCATCACAAGCACTTCCAGGACCAGAGTTACCTTCCTTGAATCCACCTGCTGGGGAACAGCAGCAGGAGAAAGCTATTGCTTGCATGTGCTTCTTTTGGGCATCCCAGAGGCATCTGATTGATCGCAATGAGCTCGATGGACCTTTGGTCTGACCCAGCGGGGCTCTTCTGGCATCCTTATTTCTTAGCAACCATCCAGCTTAGCAATGGGCATCTGAATTCGGGTGCTCATGAACTTTCTATCTCTGTGCAGCAAAAAGTGTTGGTGTGCCATGAAAGGTTTCTGACAGCAGCTGCAAAGCTCATTAGAAATCCAGCAAGGGCATCTGAAGCATGCATGAACTGTCAGATATTGTTATTTTGAGGCAACAGTGTCTCTTTCTCCATCAAATCTTTCAAATCATACTCAGTCATAAAATGGAAACAGTTATATCTTCTGTGTCATCACACTTTCAAAAGCATTTGACTGGATGACTCAAGGTGAGATGATTTTGGTTTACATAGCTTGTTAGGAACATTCTTCCAGTGTATCCCACAAAAGAGCATTCATGACTTATGTCCAAGTTTTACAACTTCAGAAATAGGTCCCCAGAAAGGCACAGCAGTTTGCAGCTTAAGTAACTTAGGGAGCAATTCTATGGGCAGAAGGCTTCAAAACTGGAGGCTTCAGTATATGCAATACTCTGCCAGGCAGATGACGGTAGGGTGGGAACAGTGCTGGAGATGATGTCCCTCCCCTGCCCCTTATACCTGATCATTGCTTTTATTGGTATGTATTTGCTAGATGGGCCTTTCAGACTATCCAGTAATAGAACCTTGGAGAGGGAGGGAAGGAGACTGGGAAAGGCCCCAGCCTTTCTAGGTTCCAACAGAGGAACCCTGGTGGTATAGCAGAGCGCCCCTTCCTGGTGACCTGCTCTAACTGCAGGCATCTCTAACCACGTAGCTGTCAGTGACGACGGTTATTGTCTAGGGCTTCCCACAATGCCCAGTATTCTTTCTGCAGGAGCTACCAAGTTCATATAGTTGGTGTTTGAAAAATTGACCAGCAGTCTACTTTTCACAGCAAACTATCAAAACTGGGGGTTTTAATAGAAACATTTGAACTGTGGACTTAAAAAAAAAGCTATTAAATTGGTTCCCCCCCCCCCCGTCTTAATTAGGTTATTTTAAAAATGTTGTAGGTGTGGGCTGACTGCTGTTCTGGGATAAAAGCCAGATAAGGGAAACATTTGTGAATTGTGTACAATCATAGAAACTTTACCTTACACAGTTGAATGTTATGATCAATTATTTTTCTAAGAGCACAATGCAATGCATGATCAGGCAAAAGAAGAAGAAAGCTATGGCTCCCAACATTCCCCAGCCATTATGCAGCCTGGGGAATCCTAAGAGTTGTAGCACACCTTTTTCTGTCTAAACATGCACAGAGTCTCACCCTTAATTTCACTGTTTTGAGATTTAGAAATTTAGCTACTTTCCTTGTTTTGTAATTAGCAGAAGTATCAAGGCTGCTGGTGATTAAAGTATTATTTTGACATTGCTCTGAGAAAGTTAAATTAATGGACCATTGATTTATAATACTTTACAAGTTTAAAGACCAGCTCTTTTCTTATCCAGTCAACTGCCCAATGCTCTTCAGTGGAAATACAATCCTCACTGGATTTATCCCAGGGGCGGACTGCAGTGGAAGAAGTATGGTCTAAATCGTAGACATCCAAGAACTTGTTAAACTAACCTAGGATTAAAGCATGCCATTTATGCATTATTTAACTGATGCTCTCCCAAATGTTAATTGCGATTTATAGTCCAGGCATTCATAAATAGACACATTGGGTTATTCAGCATCCAAACAAAACTTTTGCAGCATATGCAGTTTGAAAGAAAAAGAATATGTTTGGCTGTTAAAAGACAGGTTGCACTGGGGACTCAATCCTGGGAATACAGCTTGCCGGCAGGAAGACAAGAAACTCTTCAAAACTATATATTTATTCAGAAAATCTGTCCATGGTCTTAAGGAAAGGACTGAACTTCAGTAACAAAAGCCTTCGGGCTTTGGAGTTGCCTGGGAATTAAAAACAAAAACAACCACCTTCTATAGGTGAAATACCTGACATGCTGTGAATGGTTTGATTCTCCAGAGGAAAGGTGGGATATCAAGGACAGAGATCTGAAGACTGAAGGTATTCCCTTTGAAATGCAACAGCTTTGGTTCTTCCAGCAACTGACCCCCTTGGCGTCTTTCGTCTATAATCACTTCCTGCAGTGGAGAAGGGGAAAAACAAACCATGTGAATGCCCACAGTTCCCTTCCCTAGTAATGCAGATTCTGAATGTTGCTACTAGTAGTCTGGTTCTAAGAGATTATAGGGGGAGTTTGCAGAAGTGAATCCTAGGAAATGGGGAGGGGGTACTTTTTTCAGCAGGACAGAGAAATCAAGAGTCAGTCCCTACATGCAGGTAACTTCCGTGTCCCTGAGTCTCAGTAGAAGGGAGAGTTCTGGCACACAAGAGAAGGATTAGAATGAGAGGAATGAAAGAATGAATGAATGAATGGCTACACTTGCAGCAAAGCAGCAAGACTTGTCACTGAGCCTGAGCACATCAGCCAGGAGAAATTTAAGCCAGAGATCCCTGGAGACAGCATACCTTGTGCCAAGCTCCCCTACAGAACACTGGAAGCTGCTTTATACTGATTGCACTAATCAGTGGTATCTCTGATGGGTTTCAGGTAGGATTTTTTTCCAATCCAGCAGGATATGTTTAAAATTAAACCTGCTTAAAATTAAACCTATTACAAGGATATCATGTCCTCTGCCATGGAGCCATGACCACTGTTAAAGGAGCCAGTCCCCTTTTCACTGGGGTCTCCATATCCCAGAGCCTGCTCGCTAGCATAGATAACACACAAAGCTGAGCTGAGGAGCAATGGAGTCAAGGGCAGGGGGCTACAAACAGAAACTTAGAAAACATAGAAACAGAACAAGGCAGAAGGGAGCTCCTGGGCCATCTAGTCTGATCTCTGGCTCCAGCTGGCTCCACTCATGACATGCCTACCATGTGCCCATCCAGCCTATCCTTGAACATCCTCACCAAAGGTGCTTCAAGCACCTCCCATGGAAGCTCATTCTATACCCTATGGATCCTAACTACCCAGAAGTACTTCCTAGGATCCAAATTGTACCTTGGTTCCCTGAACTTCGCTCCATTGGAAGGCATCCTGCCTTCCTGCCCTCCTCTGCAGGGGAAAACTGGTCTACCCACCTCCATGTGACACCCACTCTCGTACCTATATGTCGCCAACAGATCCCCTTGGAGTCTCCAGTTCCCTCAGTCTCTCCTCATATGGCTTCCCCTGCAATCCGGCCACCATCCTTGTGGCCCTACGCTGCACTGACTCTAACCTGGCTATATCCTTCCTGTAAGGTGGAGCCCAGAACTGAACAAAATACTCCAGTTGAGGACGCACCAGAATCATATAGAGTGGTAGTAATACCTCTCTTGATCTAGAAGCCACGCTTCTGTCTATGCAACCAAGGATGGCGTTTGCCCTCTTGACCACCGTGCCACACTGCTGACTCATGTTTAGCCTGCAGTCAACCAGCACCCTGAGGTCCCTTTCACAAGTGCTGCTCTCCAGCTACTTGTCCCCCAACCTGAACTTATGATGCCCATTCCTATGCTCCAAGTGCAAGACCTTGCATTTATCTGCTTGCTGTATTTTGAGGACCCTCACTTGAGTTCAGACTCTCTTTTTCTCTCTCTCTCTCTCTCTCACACACACACACACAGAGAGAGAGAGAGAGAGAGAGCGAGCGAGCGAGCGAGTGAGCGAGCCATCCTGCAGTGGCAGAAGCGTGACTGAAAGGGAGGGACAGAGGCAAAGTTTCCAGTTTGGATTCAACATGGGTAGAGGCTTTCCCCTCTATTTTAGAGTTTATACTGTTCTGAAATCTGCTGATAATAAAAGAGCTGACAATCAAAGGAAAAAGGAAAGGGACTAGCTCACAATACTAGTGATATTGCTTATAGATTCATAAAAACACTTTGTCTTTTTGCCTGCCAAGAGTGCTATGAACTGAAAAAGTGGGTACCCTAACCCTCAGTCTTATCCAGCAGGGCTTTTCTTCTGCTTGGGTTTCAGTAACATAGTCTTAAGCATTCAGGATAGCCGCTTGTATAATGAAACAGGATACGTGACATGGTGGAGCCAGTTCCAAAAGTTTCCAAAATAGTGTTCCTTTGCCTGCATTTCTATTGGGTTGAATCCAAGCTTACCTTTCTATGAATGGGGGGGGGGCTTTTTCCATTTATGGGGGGAATCTTATCAAAGACGCTCCAGATACTTCAATTGGTTCAGAACAGAGCAGCCAGTTTGCTAGCAGTATACACGCATAACACCAGTCCAATACCATCTGCAGTGGCTTCCAATTGAAGTCCAGCCCCAATTTAAGGTGCTAGTGATGACTTATACAGCCCTAAACAACTTAGGACTTGACATTGGATGGAGTGCCTCCTTCCATATATACCTGCCCGGCCTCTAAGATCTGGAGTTGAGTTCCTCCTTTGGAAGGAGATCAGAAGAGTGGCTACCTGGAGAAGGGCCTTCTCTGCAGTGGCACCCAGCCTATGGAATGGGCTTTTCGGAGAGGTGTGCGTGGTGCTGACCATTTTTTTCATTTTGGTGCCAGGCCTAAACCTTTTTATTTCCCCAGCAATTTAATTGTTAGCATTGTTTTTAACATTGATTTTATATATTATTGTGATGCTGTGTCTTATTCATTTATGTTATCACCACCCTAAGACACTGTGAAGGGTGGGATACAAAAATTTTTAAGGCAGGAAGGAAGAAGGGGATAGAATGGTGGTTTCCTCCACTGATCTGGAAATCCTTCACCCTCCTTGGGAGATGGCACTGGGCTCAGAAAGGCAAACAGAAAATAATTCCTTCTCTAGAACTAGGGATTTCCCCAGAACACAAGTCTGGATCCAACCCTAGCATGTTTAGTTATAAGGGTGTTGTTCTTCTAGTTATAAATATTCATTGTCTATATTGAAATATAGAAGGAAGTACCAGATTGTCATTCTGAATTTATGAGAATAATAGCACTTCATAAATACCCAATACCCTTTTTACGCACAGAAAACCCACACTGTTAAATGGCGGATTTGGTAAATATTCCTTGACATTCACATCAAAATCTGAATTATAAAAGAGATCTTGTTTTGTGTTCATTAAAATAAAATATTGCTCCTTGTCTCCATAACTTTCCTGCATATAAAGCAATTCAGGAGCAGTAACAGCATGCTGGGAGCAGGGAGGGGAGAGACAAACAAAACAGCTTGATTTAAACTATATTGGCTATAAACTGCAATGAGATTTATAATTCCAAAAGAAGTACATGGCATAGCTTCTGCAAACTATAAGTGGGCTGTTTCCAAGATTCCAAGTCCCCATCCCTAGTGTGTGGTTCCCTGATAGCAATGTTGTACTGTTGATCCAGAAGAGTAATTCTATGGATAAATATGGTCCTCCCCAACCTCTTGCCAAAGTTCAGAGTTTCCAGAATATTATCAAACTTAATCTAGGGAGTTTCTGGAATCCTGAAGCCCCTCTGGCCATTACAGTTGGCTGTTGCTGAAGTTGCCCATAATCAGAGACACCATCTACCAGGCCCCCCCACAAACCCAGGCATGACCTGCAGAAGATTTTGCAATGCTGAAAAGAAAGTTCTAGCAAGGTTTGTCTGGCCGGGTCCTCCAAATCCATTCAGAATTGCACCTTAGACCAATTCAGCAGCAATTCAACTCACACAGCATGCATTTACCTGCAACTTGAAACTCTTGAAAGTACTTTAGGAATGCTAAATTCTTCAATTGTAAAAGAAATCAGAGAATACTTACTTTACCGGAGAAGGGGACAAAGGACACAGCTTGAGAAAATGAAAGTAAAGCATAGGAAGAGTCTGAAAGTGGAGGGATCTCCAAGCTAACAAAATAAAGCAGCCTTCCCTAGCTTGATATCCTACAGATTTCTAAAATTACAACTCCAGAATCCCCAGAGAGCCATGCCAGAAGTTCTAACCAACACATCTAAAAGACAACAAAACTGTGGAAGGTTGTAGTAAAAACTGAACATTGATCCATTGCTAGAATAAAGAGGGGGCTGGAGGGGCAGAGGGTTACTGCATGCTAATATATTTTCCTTTAAAAAAGTATAATGATGCAGGAATAACTAATGGTACTGCAAAATCTATGACTTATATCCAGAGTGATCATCTATTCCTATGCATTTATGGTAATATAATCCCCATTATTTTCCAAGAAATTTGCTTTCGAGTTGGCCTGCTTGGGTCTTGCACAAATTAATTGACTGATGTGGGGTTAATGTTCTGCTTCGGGGTGGGTAGATGGTAAACCTTCAGTTGTCTTGGCTGCACCACTTAGAAGTCACTGCCACTATGGCCAGTGACCAGTATGGCCAATGGAACTGAAAGTCAGAACATCTAGAGAGCTTCTTTTCTGCCCATCTTTGTTCTACAGTGCCTTGTAAGAATCAATCCTGATGTTTCCCTTTTCTGCTTTTTTGCCAGCTCTCACACTGTGTCATATGGATTGTTATGTTTAAATTCCTCCAAGATGCTCCAAGATGCAGCATGTCACACGCCATCCCCGCCTCCATTTTCTCCTGACAGCAATCCTACCAGGTATGTTAGGCTGAGAGGTAGTGGCTGCCCTGGGGTCATAAACATCCAATGGGCTTTGTAGCTGAGTAGAAAGCTGAACATGAAACTACCCAGTACAAGATAAATACGCTATCCAGTTTCTAAAATGAAGGGAAATGAAATTCTCATCTATTTTTCCCAGCTACATTCATTAGAGTCATGAAGAGGACCATGCTGTCAATTGCTGGACATTTAACTAATAGAAATGAAGAACCTGCCAGAGAAATAAGTTGCAACCCAGTTCAGTTCTAATATGGGTGACTATACAAGGATTCACACCCAGACTTTTATTGGCTAAAGGCTCAAACCCCTTGGCCTGGATGGAAAATTACTCCATTCTGGTTTCTCCAATCTTTTAAAATTTCCCTTTTTCCTGAAGTTTTCACCCATGAATTGGAGGATTCAAATGATAAAGCGCACTTCAGTCCCAGTGGTCAATACAATCACTGTTAACTGAGATTGGAAATCCCATCATATGAATTCTTTCTTGGTCACAGACAAGATGGTGATGTTATATGATTTGATAATGGGTCCGTTAGAGCTGGATTTGCCTTTTGACACTGGAGTACATTTCTTAGCTTTGCCAGTGCAAAATTGAAGAATGCTGGCTTGGCTCTTACTCTTTTCTCTCATCAATCAATCAAATCTATGGAACGTTTGTTTAACAGTTTATTCTGTGCACTGGTCATGCAAAGCCTTTGCCATCCAGGTGCCTTGTCAAATACTGAGAACTCATTACTCCTGACAGAATACAGGAGAGCCTTAAGCAGTAGCTTGGAAAACATCTCAATTAAAATTACAAGAACTGTGCATTGAACTGCATCATTTTTGCTTTGATCCATTTGTTTGTGCAGTTGACACATGCACACAAAATCTGCCAAAGAACACAAGTTCTTTGGGTGGATTACATACATCTAGTTTTGTTTTCTACTACCTATCCTGGGTACACAAGGAAAGGACTTGTGTCTACTGCTAATTCTACTGCTGCAAGAATTTCTGTATTAAGAGTAAAGTAATAAAGTATAAGTAGAAACTACTTGTAAGTTTGTTGCTACCACCACCCTCAAGAAGAAATAAGCTATGTGACATCTAAAGAGCCAGACTGGCAGGTGTCAGGAACTACCATCTTGCAGTGTTTTGTTTCAGCATGGCTCCCCGTACACACTCTGTGGGGGAAATAGTTGGAGAAGAGTGATGTTGAGCAAAAAAAGAGGGCAGGGAGAGAAAAAGTAATGTATTGGGACAATGATATGCACAAGGGTGCATCATGTTGAGTGCAGATGGATATGAATTTGATATATACACTGCCCATTCGCTGAAGCTGAAATTTGAAAGTTGCCAAAATATGACTATGAAAGTACATCACAGAAACACCGAACCATTTGTTGAACTAAAGTAACATTTACATAGTGCTTTTTATTTTATCCTGCCCTTCCAAACGTTCCCTCTCGAAAATAATAGAATACAATAAAATAAACAAAATAAAACAAAAGGTGGCCCAATAATCCAACAATAAAATCCAGATTGAAAACAAAATCTTAATTAAAATGGAGCATAAAAAACAAATTAAAATACAGTTAAAAAGACACTAGAAGAAATTAATAGCATCAGCCAATTAAAAACTCCTTAAACAGCAGATCAGCTTTATGCCTTAAAAATTTATCTGCCTTCTGCTGGAAGGGTAACAGTGGGAGTGATCACAGCCCCTCTCAGCAGTGGATTGAAATCCATGGAGCAGTCACTAAGAAGTCTCTACCAAACAGGCCTCTGATGGTGGTGGATATCATGAGAAGCCCATCCTTCCCACCTAAGACCATAAAATGTAGTGCTGTACTATGTTCTAAGCCCTTCACCTAAACTCTCTTGCTGCAGCAACTGTGTAAGTCACATCAGTTAATTATGCTCATATTTAATTATGCCCATATTGCACACAGGCCAGAGGCTGAGACGGACTAGTAAGGGTGTGAGGACACCTAATGAGTTCATAGAGAAGATATGGACATGTCTAGTTGAATCAGTGTGCTGGCTTATAGCTCCAAAGTCCCCCTATGGATGTTTACTGCAAAGTAACTCCCATAGCATCCAGCAGGGCTTACACCCAGCAAGTGGGCATTACATCATAGGACTATTTATTTATTTAAAACATTTCTATGCCACCCCCATCGCAACAAAGCCTCAGGGCGGCTCACAAAGAATACATAGCCACTGCAGTGCATCAGCTCTCTGGAGGAAGTCTCTACCAAAACACTGTAAGAATGAGAATGAGTGGGGTGAAAAGTAAATTGTAGGACTAAATCAAAGTAAATGTGATTGGAGCTTTTGGATATACCAAGTGCATGTTCCTGCTACATATAATTCATCTCTTCTTCTGCTGTCTTTCTCTCAGTATCTTTATTTAGTAAGAAAAGCAGCATGAACACAAATCTGAAACTAAAGGCATGGCTTTGCTATCTTACCTGAAATGCACAAGGGGTATTATCCACACAGTACACTCTGAGACTATAATCCAGTGAGTTACAAGACATACAGCCAAAGACTGCTACTTTCAGTTCTTTAACAGAACAATCAGAGAGCGGCTCCCCAATGAGAGCATAAGTTCCAAAAGAGTCCAAGAGTATGTGACAGGCAGAAGGGTCCAAGAGGCAGTAACAAGAAGTGGTTTCCTCTTCCACAGACATGACTTCCTATATTTATAAGAAAGAAAGAAAGAAAGACAGACAGAAAGACAGAAAGACAGAAAGACAGAAAGACTTTTTAGAATAAGTACCAGTTACTGTGTTCCATGTTTTCTTAATGTGATTAAAAGATGCAATGATATGAGTCTTGAAGTCACCATGGTCCAACACACATAAGTGTAACTGCATTTGCAGATGGATGCTCAAGTCCCCAGCTATAACTCATAGGAAAACCAATGACTTGGATGCAAAGATTTTCTTCTTCTGAGAAGAAAGAGCTTCATTTAATGGAGGAACACTCGTTACATTGGAAAAAAGGGAGTCACTGGATCCAACCCAATGTTTTTGGTGTCTTGGTTGGTTAGTACCTTCAAGAACTTCCTTTGTGTTTCTGACTGTCTGCTTTTCATAAGTGTTATGTGTCAGACCTATTTTGAAAGCTCTGTTTACAAAGGCAGAAGCCTGATTATGAGTTTGTGTATATTGCTTTGCAAATGCATGGATTACTTAACAAAACAAACTCCATTCGGTTCACCATCATGCTGAGATCCATCTTACTGTGGATGAAACTTCTGTAAGTCCAACAGAGACTTAGGCCTCCACTTTTCAAGCAAGAGGACACTGCCTTGCATGTCAAATGGCTTTTAAAACCAAGGGTGGTTTCTTGGTCACAATTTCCACCATATGTGACCAAAATTTCTAACACGCATGCCTTGTGGGGGTGGCAGTGGGGATGGGACACCTGAGGGGATCAAAGAGCACCAGCAGGTATACTTTCAGAAAAATGCAACAAAAAGGCTGATTGTTCTGTGGAAATATAATATGGTGTGAGTGAGTAAAAGAAATGCTGTGTTGAAAAAGAAAGCAAGGGAGTTATTTTACTTCTATATGCAATGGGTTACATGATTCCATGTATGCTTACTCATAAATAGATGTGATTAATTAAAATGAATCTTACTCCCAAGTAAAATGCATATAATTATTCCCAAAATATTTTTAAACAATATGAATCAACAGCCCAAATAGTCCCAATAAATCCATTAGCGGCTTATGAGTTAGCCTATTGCAAGAGCTAACAGACAGGACACCAGTCTGAGCTTCCTGAAGAAACAACATGATATAAATAAATGGGAATAATAGCAACAATAGTGACAACAACAATGAACTCAACCCAAAAGTTTGCAGTTCCTTTCTAATTCACCAAAACCACTAGACAGAATTGATGGACTTGCGTCCATTTTAGTGAGATGGCTCATGCATGGAAGTGTAGACAGAAACCGCTCAGGGAGAGGGCTCATCTGGAATAATGAAGGGATGGGCAAGAATGCCTGATGCCTACATAAACTATTTGCCGCAATAGCATTTATTCTAATAAAATCGTCCATCTAACCTGTAAATGCTCACCTTTGCACTCAGGGCAGTAAACGGGACATGACGTCATCTGTGAATAGGAGCACCATTCCTATATGTTCCTGCACCGTCTCCCTCTCTCCGCATGCTCTCTTGTGGGTGACTAGTGAAGAACCACCATTGCCATCATCACCATCTCCACCACTCTCCCAGAATTTGTGGCGTTTAAGGTGCAATTGTATGACTACCAGACACTGCCTAGAGAAGGCCATGGGATAACCAGGAGTCATGGCACAGATGAATGTGCTCCGAAGTCCCAGCTAGGACTCTGACTGCAAAATACCCTGCCCTTACTCCTTTGTTGGTGCAATTTGTCACTGCAGCTGGTAAGGGTGAGCATGAAGGCTTGAAGCTCCTGGTGGTGCCTGAGCTCCTGCTCCTCATAAGCAGGAGCAAAGATGACCAAAACTGGTTGTCCATGTCCTTGCTGGGTGTGAGATGCACAGAAGCAACCCTTGCTTCCGTGTTCCTCCTGCACTCTTTGGTTACCATAGTTTCTGCTATTCTGAGGGTCATGGCAGCCACATGGGATGCTTCGTGCTCTTAACCTTGCAAACATTTCAGCTCTTTGCACTGCATGATCTCTGGACTCCTCAGCAGACTTGCTTTTGTTTTAGCAGCTCAGGTGCCATGATTGCCCTAAGCAATCAGCAACACCCCCGTTCCATATTGCAAGTTCCACCTTTCCTCTTGGACATCTTACTCACCTCCCACTTGCCCTGATGCCTTTTCTTTTTCAAATGGATGTTCCAGTGCTCAGAATTCACTTCTGCACAGTGTGGTATTGTCAAGGCAAATGGCGTAGAGACTGTCACTTCTGGAGGGCCGCATGTTACCTCTGGACCAAGGAGGACTTCACTGCCTTCTGGCTGCAGGCTTTACATGGAGATGAAGACAGAGACAGAGAGACATTATTACAAAGGAAAACTCAACTTCAAAATATAAAACTTTCTACCTGGAGGTAGCATAGAAGTTCCGTGAACATTTGCTCATTTCCTTTTTAGCTTGTATGATTGTCCAGTGTGAATAACTAAATATTAAAATACTTCTACCACTATTGCAAAGCTGTATCTGTTTGGAGACATTTACATATGCAGGGAGAGTTTAAATAAGGAAAATGAAGTGTGTACTCCTTTGCAAATTAGAGAGGGAGATCCTCTCTAACAATAAACAAAAGGCTCATATTTCTGAAAACATCATACTCATCTTGGTATTTATGTCGCCATCTGCACAGCAAGGAAGTAATGGAAATGTCAGGAAAACCCCAAGATTTCCACAAGTACAAAACAAACATTGCGTGTTGTTGTTATTGTTTTTTGTTCTTGTTTTGTTTTTTTGTCCTCTGTAAGCCATCCAGAAACTTTTTGTAATGGGACAGCATAGAAAAACTTTAAATAAAATCAATCAATCAATCAATCAATCTGGGATGGGGCTTAAAACACTCTGATGAGGATTGAGCATAGAAGGCTGTCTGACTTTTGTAGGAAGTCAGAGTCAAACTAAAGAGAAAACAGGGCGAATAGGATATTGTTCAAGAGGAGATGGCTGACTGGAACAAGACCTTTCCTCACTCCAACTGCAAAATGTTACCACGTGGACCACCCCTGTTCAGCATTCCAGCCAACCAGGCCCCTTTTGGAGATACTCCATTCCACCCCATCCATTTTCTTTTTCACAATTGTTTTCTTATCTCACACTTCAACTGCTATGTTCAGATTCTTGTTTTAGCATTAATGGAAGCAAAGACTAGATTTAGGTGTCAGAATTGCTGTGGCATTTTTCTTCACTTTATCGGAGTGTTAATAGCAACATTTTGTAGCTGTAAAGGAACAAAATAATTATGACTCCAGTGATGCATCTTCACATGAATCATTTGATTCCATGGTGGTTTTCTCGCTTGGAAAATAGTGCTGATCTGTTGCTGAAGAAACATAATAGGTAATATAGATAAAGTTGATATTAAGGTATGAAGCATAAGATAACAGTCTTTCAGGTCTAAATTTAGCATCACTCCACATGAACCCTTCCCCTCGCCCCCTTGCATGCTGTTTCACGTATTGAACACAAACCAGGAAAAACACCCTCAACCTTGCAGAAAAAAAAGGATTTTTAAAATGTATTCTGTAATACTGTGTTCAGAATTGGCTTGTATATATTTGCAGCCTTGTTTTGGCTGGAGGCTGATTTGGTTTAGATTTGTAAAGAAACCCCTCTTGCAGACCTTGAAGTATGAAGACCATTTGTGTCCCTTTGGAGGTGGGAGGGAGAGTTAGCTGTACCTGCCCGGAGCAGCTTTTGGCACTAGTCCAGATGCTGCAAGCTAAGTGAACGGGGCAAGGGAACAAAAGAGGAAGTTTCAGATGCAATAGGGGAAACCTGTCCATTCCACTTTCTCATTTTTCCAATTTCAGATTTGGATCATCCTGCATTTTGATATTTTCTTGTGTGTTTTTTCCCCTAGTGTATGGATTGTGTAGGTAATTTCACCTAATTTATACACTCCCTGAAAGCAAAATTCTTTTTATAAGACATTCTTAACATTGTTTTCACTAATTTACACAAGTTTAATGTGACCACTGCAAAGCCTGAGAAGCGCACCTTTCAAAGGATAGCAAAGCCCTGGTTGGGCAGTATGAAACTAGCTAACTAGCAGGTGAGCTAGCATGAAAATGCAAACAGAACATTTTTTCCTTTCATATATGAAAATGTATGAGATAGGTGAAAGGTAGGGAGCTTGGGACTGTTTGATACTAGCTCCCAAAAGCTCCAACCAGTGTGGCTATGAATAGGGATAATGTGCATTTACCAACAACATTTAAAAGGTGGCAGGCTACCAAGCCATGGAATAGGTAACACCAATAGGTAACACTAACTTCTCATAGTGATTCCAAAGCTGAACACCAGAAATGTCTTGATCAGTGTGACTAATGATTTAATAAATCTCTGGGAAAAAACCAAAACCAAACCAAAAACCAAAAATACCACTATGGTTAAAATTGACCAGGACCAAAGGATGACACACAAGAAACATGGTGTTTCTTGCAGGCAGCCGGGCTTTTCAGTCTTCCTCTCTCCATAACAGTCTCTTCTCCATGGAAAAAGTAAGAAAGCCTTCCCTAGGCAGCTATCCAAAGAAGCAGCTGCAAATACCCAAGGGTCTGCAGAAGAAGGAGTAAACAGCAGAACTCCTTTGGAGGAGCTTTAGCCCCGGCTCCACTATTTTACAAATGAAAATGCACACACACTTGTAATACCTCATAACAAAGAAGGGCACCACTTTCCCTTTGCGACCTTCAACTCTGTGGAGGCTGCTAAAAAAGTATCCTCCGCTGACGCTTTACCTGCTTCAGTGGCATACATTTTAACTTCCCATGGTGCTCCAATGTATTATTATTATTATTATTATTATTATTATTAACATTTCTATGCCGCCCCTTGCCGAAACCTCGGGGCGGCTTACAACACATAAAATACATTGAAATACAATAGAACATAATAAATTACCATTAAATACAAAAATACAAAAAATACACTGAGTTACAAATATAAAATTAAAATTATCAGTATAAAATAAGTAAATAAAAATATAGGAGGAGAAAAGAGAAGGAAGAAGAAGTTGCCCTGGCCAGATCATATGTTTTAACAATTGAAATGATGTTTAAATAATAAGGGGCCCCGCGGGGCTTTGGGGGAGCGTTTCTGCCCCTGCTGGGACGCTCCACGGATCGGGCCAGGGCCCTCTGCCAGCACGGCGGGCCTCTGCCCCGCAGCTGCGGCCCTTCCGCTACAACCAGAGCAAGTTCCTAGACCGTATGGCTCCGAGCAAAGAGCTGAATCGGCGAAGAGTCCCGGAAGCGGCCTTCTCCCCAGTCGGGTCCTTGCTCGCGCCCGCCGGGGCTTCTGCACCGCTCGCCGGGGAGGCGGGCACGGAAGCGGGGCCTTCCGCGGCATCCACCGGGCGCAGAACTGCGGCGCGCCTCTGGGCTCCGTCCAGACGGGCCGGACTACACCCCCCATCGACCCCGGACCCGCGGCGCGCCTCACCTCCTCGCCGCGGGCCTCCCGCGCCCTCCTCCACGCCGACCGCACGCCCTCCGCCCGGGGCGCCGCGTCCGCGTCACTCCAGGGCATTGTGGGTAATTTAAATTTAAAGGTGCTAGGAACGGACGTTTGTTAGGGCCCAATGAAGTCATAAGCTGCCAGGGACTCTGGCACCCCTTTCCCAGTAATACAAATTCCTGAAGACTGTTCTTTGTCTCTCTAATGCCATTTCAATTTTAATTTGCTCTGCAACAGCCTGAGTTGCAGTATGATGCAAACAATACGATGTTTGTGCTTTTCTTAAAGACGTGCCAGAAATAAAATAAGAAACATGCAAATGTAATGTAATAATACTAATTGCCCCACCACCTCTTATCAACAGTTCAAGTCTCACTAGGACAAAGTCTCACTAGGACAAACAGCACACCAATATTTTTATTTTGTACTGATAATTTTAATTTTATATTTGTAAATCAATGTATTTTTTGTATTTATGTATTTAATGGTAATTTATTATGTACTATTGTATTTCAATGTATTTTATCATGTTGTAAGCCGCCCCGAGGTTTCGGCAAGGGGCGGCATAGAAATGTTATAATAATAATATAATAATATAATAATAATAATAATAGTGTGGCACTTTACAGTGGGTGTGGCTGGATTTCCATGCATATGCATTAAAGAAAAAGGTGTATCCATTACTACATCTGGCTCTGATATGAGCTGAGATGGACCTTGAGAAGCAGGATGGGAAATCTAGCAGCTCACAGGAACAATGCATTCCATCAAGCATCTCCTTATAGAACAACAGGGACAGAATTGGGGCAAGAAATAAGCAGGAGCGGCTGTTAGAAAGCAAGGCATTTCCTGGACAAAATTGGGGCCATTGGTACCTATGCTTTAGGAATGCATTCTGGGTTGTTGTGGTGATATTCTGCTCTCAAGATGTAAAAATAATAATTTTGACTGGCATAATTTGAAACTAATGGATTTACCCTGCAATTTCAAATGCTTCCAGAACCTTTTGGACTTCTGTGGAATGAACAGATGTTCAAATGTTTGAAGGACAGGCGTGTAACATGAGCTGCAAAGGCAAAAAAAAATATGCTTTTTTCATTTGCAATGACAATATTCTACATGGTTCCCAGGACTGCCCATATGTTGTCGCTAATATTAATGATCAGTGGATCTGCCAGATCCATTTCCACAGAACACCCTTACACTTCCACATTTCCCCCTTCCAAATCTTTTCTTCTGTGAAGTTTCCATTAAAATGTATCCCCCCCATCTCCCCCTGCCCCTTCCCCCAACAATAAATATTGATTTTTGGCATGAGGCGACCGGATACATTTTTCCAGCAACAATATATTTTCCGCAATTATGCAAATAATTGGCAATTAACATCCAGAAGTTTCACAAAAGACCTGCTCCTGGTATAGATGAAATCTACTCAGACTGCTTTGTCAAGGTGGCTCAGCACAGCTGCCTGCATTTCTAGCCTTCTAGGGAGCCTGGAATGGGGAGCACTGGGGGAAGTGCTGCCCATCAGCAATTACTGCGACCCAGCATTATCTTCTTTGTGCTCCCCAATCCCTGTGATTATTTCAGTGGTTGCGGGGAGGCCCTGCTTCCTGGCCTTGACGTATCTTTGTTCATGGGGACGTTGAATATGGAAGTGTTCCATTCTTCCCTCTATCAGCATCTGAGATCGTACATCTATTTTTCCCACTGATTATTGGTTTCTTATATTTGTTTTATTCTTCTCCTTGGGATAACACATGCAGATATTTTTCACATTTTCTTATTAATGGCAGTGATAAATAAAAGATACACTG